AGCCAGATGTTAATTTTTAAACAAATGCAGAGTGATCCTGTAGTGACAGCACACTCCAATAGAAAGAGGGTTGGACTGGGAACTCGGAGGCTTGGCCCTGTTTCTGGGTTGTTGTGTGACCATGGGCAAGTTGGTTGATACATCCATGCCTCAGTTTCTCCACGAAAAACAGGTTAATAATACCCCCTTTGAAAGCTGTTCCTGTTATTTGGATATGTAGCATTTAATAGATTTATTGTTGCATATCATTGTTAAAAGCTAATTTCAGGAGCTGTGCAAAGGAGCTGGTGGGCTTGGGTAGTGAACAGCAAAAGATCTGCATCTAGATTCTGTTCAGGGCTCAGCATCTAATTCAACATTGCTGAAAACTGTCAAGCTTCTCTATCGGGATTTCAGCCCAAGTGTTACACAACACTTTGATCTTGTAGGTTTGTGCCAGTTCCTGGGAGCCCTGGTCACAAACTCTAGGTGCTTTAGGACCACAAAGCCAATGACACTCCTTGTCCCAAATTGTTCGCAGGCTAAGAATGAAATGAAAGAAAATGGGCAGATTCATCTAGAGCACATGGCAGCAACAAGACCATGTTGATCAGCATGATGGGCAGCATATGTTTTATGCAGCGAACCATTTAAACACAATGGGAGATGGATGCTTTTGTGGCAGAGGGTGCCCCTGGACACGTGCAGTGACCTTGCACTAGTAGGATTCATGCCTTTATTAGATAGCTGGTATCTTGTCTTCACCATGGGTTATTTACAACCTTTGTGTGTCACTTTTGCTCTTCCAGCTGGAAGCTGAAGCTGTTTTCCGTGCCATCACCATTGCTAGCCAGACCAACTGTCCTCTCTATGTGACCAAAGTGATGAGCAAGAGTGCTGCAGACCTCATCTCACAAGCCAGGAAAAAAGGTGGGCAGCCTTTGTCTCATCCCTCCTAGATTTCCTTTTTCATCTTCGGGTTTTTGTGTGGCTAGGCACCCTGTTCAGAAGGGTCCTGTGCCCTTGTCTTTGCTCCAAACAAGGAGATTTGTCCCTTGACCTATTTTAGTGCTTCCCACATCTCCACGTCAGCCAGTCAGCGTGGGGTTTTGCAAAGAGCTAGTGAAGTGTGAGTAGTGCAAACTTATCTTGACAGTTATATGAAATGGGAAACCGTTGGTATGTGTTTGGGCATGCTCTCTAACCTATCTGTTTTTTCTGCAGTACCTATCACCAAGGTTTCTGTGTCACTAGCTGGTGTGTGTGTGTGTGTGTGTGTGTGCGTGTGTGTGTGTGAGAGAGAGAGAGAGAGACACACAGAAAGAGGTTCAGTCTTTCTCTGACCTCTCTGAATGTAAAAACCATCATAACGCTAGTCACCAGGTAATGTCTGTGATTAATGGGAGGCCTGTTCTCAGCCTGGGGGATCTGCCTTTGGTTGCCTGCCAGAAGCCAGAACATCAGGTAGCAACATTTTCTGGGCTGGCGGGTCAATGGTTTGAATACCAAAGTTTATCTAAGACCAGAAAGCATTTTCTCTGCCAAGAGGACACGAACTGTCCTAATGCAAGTGATTTGAGCTGCTAAAAATATCCCCGGCCTCTCTTGATGGGGCAAAGCTTTCAGCGGGTGCCTCTGCGCCTTTCTGGCAGTGGGGAGAGTTCCATCTGGCAGGCAGGATGCTTCTGGCAGGGGAAGAAACTGCCCGCACCCACCCAGTACAAGCCTACGTGCTCTTGTCCTCCCAAGACATGATAAATGAAGAAGCTGACTGACCTGTTCTCCCTTTTCCTATCCAAAGCATGGCTCTCCCCTCTCTTCTTCCTTGCTTCTAACTTTGACTGGGAGACATGTTTTTCTTGTGTTTGAAAGTCTTGGTTCACTGGAGCCAGCCCTTAGTGTATGAGGCCTGAATTATAGGGCCTTCCCGTTTCACTGTTGGGTGTAGCAGGATCTGGGATTGAATCCCAACCTCCAGATCTACCCCGTTGTTCTACTCCGCAGGCATTTCTGTGGATGCCTGAGAGCCAAGCTGGATCAGTGTCATGGTGGAAATGTGGCCTCAGGGACAGCTGTCATTGGGAACAGTGCAGGCAAACAGCCTACCTAGTTCTAAAATGGAGATTGGATAAATTTGAATGGGGTGAGATGATGAGGTTGCCTACAATACGTAGGAGTTGGACCCCAACGAGGTCCCTTTATGTTCACTATCCCTGTGTTCCTATAATTAGGGCTGCTGCACTGTTCCCTTTTCAGCTGTTTTTTGGCAAGCGAGTGAAGGAGAAAAAATAGGTCCTTACTCAATTAATAAAAGGGCATCAAAGAATATTGCACTTCATGGCCTTGTGGGGAGAGAGAACAGCCCATTGCATTACAATGAGAGGCTTGGAGGAAGATTTAGGGCCTCCACAAATTATGCCAAAGAAACTTATATCCTAGTGGAGCTAACAACAATCAGACAGAGCATTGAGGAGTGTTGCTCAGATCTGTTTGCTGCCAAGGCCCTTTCCAAAGGGTGTAGAAAGGGTGGAAATGCTGGGAGGTGGAGCAGCTGTCATTGTGACCAGCATTAATGTTGTAGAAAGCCTGGTGGTCTCTGCCTCAGGCAGTCCAATTCACTCCTTCCCTTGGACCAAGCTGCAGCATTTGCTTGAAAGGCACTAGTGTATGATTGAGAGACTAGATGTGTGAGCTTGGAGCTTGCCAGGCCCTTACGGCATTTGGAAAATATTTACCTAACTGAAAAATATCAAGAGAAGGAGACGAAGGCGGGGGAAGGAAAGGTAATAGAGAGATAGAAATGAATCGTGATGCGAGAAGTTGACCCTTTGCCCAGAATACTGAACTGCTGCCCCATGTCTGGTCCAGCTAAATTCCTCTGCCCGTAACAATCTCTCAATCTAAGCAGCCAGTCGGGAGGATTCCTGACTCCTGCCAGGTATTTCCAGGATGCTTTTCATCGTGATACCTGGCAGAGATCACAAGACAACAGGCACAAATCCAGGTTGCAGGATTCCTGCATTCACACTGTTGCTTAGAGTACTTGGGTGAAGTTTGGACTAGAGCAGTCCTCCTGGTGGGGCCAGGCTGTCTTGCTAGGAACTCGTGAGGTTGCTCAGTCATGTAAAGTCTTACAAGAGAGAAGTGACCACTTTCAGGACAAACTCCTAGAGTCTGTAGCACCAGCAGCTCGAAACCCCAGGTTTTGAGTGCCAGGACCAGGACTGTACCTGGCCCATTGCCACAGGTAGTCCCCATTGCTGCTTCTCACCAACCTCTTGTGTTCAGGGTCATAAATCAAAAAAGGCCAATGTGGAAGGTCCAGTTCACAAGCGGGAATGTCTCCAAATTTAGCCAAATAACACTGCATGCTGAGAAGTCCATCTGTGTCTCTCCCCACCAGGTAATGTGGTGTTTGGTGAGCCTATCACAGCCAGTCTTGGAACGGATGGGACACACTACTGGAGCAAAAACTGGGCCAAGGCTGCTGCATTTGTGACCTCCCCGCCCCTGAGTCCAGATCCAACAACCCCTGACTACATCAACTCCTTACTGGCCAGGTGAGTGGTTTGCATTTGGAGAAAAAACTCTACCTCCCCTCCCCCTGAATACAGTGGGGCCATGAGAACCCAGTTCCACCCAGGCATGAGAGCCTGTGCCTTAGGTGGCTGTGGTGTCGGCATCATTTGGGAAGGCTGCGACTCAAATGGATCAGTGTCAGGGGTGGATTTGGCAGAGAGTGAGTTTCAACTGAGACACACAGTTAAAATCGTGGACTGTTTGACGGCCAGCTGTAAAACTGCATTTGAAATTTCCAGTGCTCCAGGTTCTGAGAGGCTCTGAGCTGCGGTGTTTGAACTTACAAGCACAGGAAAGAGAGCTTTGCCCTGGAGGTACTCAGTGAGCAGCTGAATTCTCCATCTCCTGCTCTGCTATGTTGAAAATATGGAGCAAATGACATTTAACCAAGACCTCTTGGTACTTGTGGCCCCATTAAGCTTTACACAAAGGATGGTACCCGCCTTCTCCCAGGAGGATGTGTTAACTGCATGGATACACAGAAATGCCATGCAATACATTAAACCATTTGTCAGCCAGATCTACAACACATGCACATTAATGGCTTTACTCCTGAGCATGTATGTTGAGCAGGTGCTGCTTGTTGGCCATCAGATGATGTTTTTGTTCAAAGCACTGGTAACAGGAATGGTTTCCAGAAAGACCATGCTGTGTGGGCCCAGACAGAGAGGTTTGCTAGGGGTGTGGGGAAGATGGTCAGGATTTAAAGCGTTTGCTATTGCTGCAGTTCGGTCTAAGATTGGGTTGGCCAGCAGTAGCCTAGTTCAGCACTGAGGGTACCAGCAGTGCTGCCTGCATGTTCCAGAAATGAAATGATTTCAAATAGTGCAGATTAACATTGGAGGCAGATAGCCAGACCTGTGGTTAAGCTGTAAAATAGTGAACATGGCCCCTCCATAGCCTTATCCATCCATTATGTCATATGAGTTCCACATTTACTAGCTGGAAAAAAGAAAAGAAAGAAGAACCATGTAGCCCTGGAAACCCACACATGCCTGTCCTGAGCTATGCACAGATCACCTCGGGGTACTGCTTCCTTTGTTTGTCCAGAGTGGGTTAGCATAATAAGGGGCCCCAGTGGGGCTGTGCATTTAGGGAATGTTTTGCCCTGTTAGATTTCTGCCTGTGCAGCAGCTTAGACATATGGCAGAAATTATAAAGGGAAGATGGAGATTATCAGTGGATTAAAACCCAGGTTTGCACACACAATCTGTGGGCTCAGCATAATTGCATCACTGCTTTTCTGTTTCAAGCCTGGTCCATCTGGAAACCCAGCAATCACTGTAGTTTCCTTATCATTAGACATGGCTTAAAGGGGGGGTTTATTCCCACTCCGCCAAAATGACTTCCTAATTATTGTGCATCCTCTGGTCTCTGCATACCCAGGAGCCAGGAAGTTTCTGGAGAACAACGTAACATTTCCTTGCTAAAGATACTCGCTGCTTCCCTCTGCTGTCAGTACATATGAATATAGCCAGCCAGAGAAAGGAGCTCAGTCACTGAGGGCTTTATTAAGTCTCTCTCTTTCAAGCAGTGATTCTTAACCAGGCTGCTGTGACACCCTGGGATGCCTGGAGATCCGTTCAAGATTGTTACAGGGTATCATGCAAATGTTAGCACTGTTAGGTGTGCAAACATGATTCACAAGAGAAATCCAGAGATTTCAAATAGGAACCCACCATGTCAGAACCACTCTGACCTGTTGTTGTGTTTCTGAATTTTTTGCTACAGAAGAATTGCTCTAATATTTTTCCATAGTGGAAACTAAAAGTTGGCATTTCCCATGGGGTGCCTGGAGTCTCAAACAGGTTTGAGAACCACTGTTGTAGAGCAGTTTGAGGTAGTGAAGAGTATAGCTTTAACTTGACTGTACAAGCTGCAGGGTTTGGGGTTGTAGCTGTGTTGGTCTAAGGACATAGGCAGGCAAGCTTTTTTGGGTAGATGTGATATCTTTTATTAAACCAACTGAGTAATTGGAATTTTCTTTTCCAACGACTCAGTTGGTCTAATAAAAGCTATCACATCTACCCAAAGAAGCTTGCCTGCCTACTGTACAAGCTGATAATTATTAAAGTTTCTTGGAGAAGCTGAGGTTCATTTGAATGAGGAATGTAAATATTATCTAAATAATTATCTGTTTAAACTCTTCTAATAATATCAGTTAACCAATTACACATATTGCACACATAGGGCAGGTGCTCCCTGCCTCCGCCCCATCGCCTGCAGGACTTCCCACAAAGTGAAGCCAGGCTCCCCCACTCCCTTCCCTACCCAGCAACAGCAGCAGCAGCATCTCCCCACACAGTCCCCTGCTGCAGCCCAGGCTGGGACCAGCCCTGCGTACTCCTTTGCTGTCCCATCTGCGCTGCTCTCTGTGCAGATGGAGAGGAGCCTGCCCCACACTGCTCCAGCCTTGCTGCCAGCTGCTCTGTGCTGCTGCCCCCAGCTGCACCGCAGAGGGCCAGAGGGTGGTGAGCTGGCTCTAACCTACTGCAGACAGCTGCCCCGGACTGGCTGCCACAGTGCAGGGGGAGGCAGAACTGCATGCTGCCACAGACAGGTGGGGCTTCTTTTCGACTGCTTGCTCCATCTTTAGTGGAAACTAGTCCCTTCTCTCCTCCTCCTCCCACTCTCCTGCCTGCCCTGCCACCTTCCAGTTCCTGCTGGGGCACTGCATGGCTTCCCTGCCCCCCACTCCCTACTTCCATGCCAGACTTCACCCCACCCTGCGCTAACCAATAGCCAGTTAGCTATAACGACTTGTTACTGGTCTTACCTGTTAAACAATTAATCATTTAACCATTCACATCTGTGTTTTGAACCCCACTTGGTTGCCTTTGGTGGAAAGGGCACCTGTGTGGCCTAGGGTGCTACTAAGGGAAGGATACGGGACCACGGAGATATGGGAGAGATGCAGTTGCCCAGTAGAGAGATTGAGTGCTGCACCCTCAAGTCTGCTGTACAAGAGAAGTGGGAATAATGCCCAGCATGAACTCCCCAGCCTTGCCTTTTCTGGTAGCAAACTGACAAGCCTCTAGGGGCCGGAGAATCCCTCTTGACTTTGCTAATGACAGCCTCCTTAGTGTGCAGTGTCCTGAGCATGCAACAGGTTTCTTGTTCTGAAGGGCCAGTAAGTTTAGGAGGAGAATGAGACTTTGGAGACACAGCAGTGGGAGGAAGATGCCTAGAGAATGACCCAGAGGTGTAAAAAATCTGGGAGAATTTTCTTTCCCCCTTGTCTAACATAAGAAAAATAATGAAGCTGTGGGAAGTGACATCTGTGATCTAGCAGGGGAATGCTCCTTCCAAAGGATTAATACAGGACTCTTTCCCCTTAGAGGTAAAGGCTGTCCTGATTGAGGTCAGTGTCCCATTCTGATATGCTGTAAAGTCACAAGGTCCTAGCCACTTATTGCCATTAAGAGATCTGCCAGCAGTTTTCCCCAGAGTTGGGTTATTGCCTTCCTTTCATGTCCCCCCATATTCCAGCACCTGAGGTATTTTTCATCCTTTGTAAACTTAGGTTTGCTTGCATCATTGGCAAGTGGTTCATTTGGACCAAACAGGTCACAGCGCTCCAAACTCTGATTCACAAAGTGGCCTTGGCCGAATGGGAAGAGGTATGAATAGAAATGGAGGAGGAGCAGGACATGGAAAGAGAAAATGGACAGAACCACGGGCAACCATAGAGATCACTCTGATCCTCCTGTCTCTCTGCACTTGAGCAGATCATGCTTGAAGCTAACCATTATGCTTCAAGCTATGTTAACCATTTTGTCCCTGTCCCATGCAGTGGGGACCTGCAGGTTTCAGGAAGTGCTCATTGTACATTCAGCACCGCACAGAAGGCAATTGGAAAAGACAACTTCACAGCAATCCCTGAAGGGACCAATGGCATTGAGGAGCGGATGTCTGTTATCTGGGATAAGGCAGTGGTAAGAAACAGACTGGGATGATGGGAGGGTGATTCAGGCAAGAACTACCCCAGGGAACAAGACATGGTCTGAATGTCCCTTCTCAATGGCTAATTAGTATAAGCCAAGGAAAGAGGAGAGCAAGACTGTGTCCTATGAGCACTTGACATCATTTTGTAAGAGGAGCTAAAACCAGTGAAGCAGGAAGCAGTACCATGGTGTAGTGGAGACTTGCAAGACCCATCTCTTGCCCTGGTGTCCCAGATGATACAGGAAAGGCACCTCAATTTCCCATCTGTAAAACAAGCATAATGTTCCTACCCCATTTTTAATGGCTTTGAATCTATGGAAAGGTCTCTGAAAACTGCAGAGAATTATACAGATAAAAGCAAACATCTGTAAGAGTTGCTAGACCCCAGGTTTGCCCTGCCTTATACCCATCTTCAAAAGCCAAGTACTTTGTAATAGAGGGGTTTTCTTTTCTACACAAATGTGAGGAGATGGGCTTTGCCCTTAGCTTTCAGTGGTTGATCCTTGGTAGATTCTCACAGCTTTAAAGGGGATTGCTGTTTTGGTTTAGACTTGTTGCATTTCTATTCTCAAAGCTCATGTAAGGGACATACTTGTTTCCTGGATACTGTTCCCATCCTTCCTCCCCTCCCCTTGAGATACTACTGATCTGTGGAGTTAGGAATGGCCCTTCTGTTTTTTGTCTAAACAGGCGACTGGGAAGATGGATGAAAACCAGTTTGTGGCAGTGACAAGCACCAACGCAGCCAAGATCTTCAACCTATACCCACGGAAAGGGAGAATAGCAGTGGGGTCGGACAGCGACCTGGTCATATGGGATCCTGATGCAGTGAAGATTGTCACTGCTAAAAGCCACCAATCAGTAAGTCCTGTGCTGGGCAGGAGAGTACTTGGACTGGGCATGTCTGAAAAGAGTAGCTGAACTATCAGTGGTTCTGTACCTCCATCCAGGAGAGCTGAATCTAAGGCCCCTGAATCTAAGGCAGACATTATTTTAAGATGCAATTAACCAGTTAATCGTATCTTAAAGTGTAACCCAGCTACATGTTCATGCAATTCATAGCATGACAAAAAGCAAAACCAGCCACAAATTATTAAAGAATGTGTAATCATTTTGTGGCTCGTTTCCATCACAGTTCAAAATGAATGTGTGCACACGGCACTGTGGCTTGACTGGGCTGGTTCAAGCCCCAGTGCAGTCCTGGTCCAGCCGATGGTCCATTGATTGTCAGCCAGCTTTGGTGGAGCTCAGACTAGCTTGGTGGATCTGGCAACCTGCTGCTTGTTAGGCACCTTTGCAGGTGCAGAGAGAGCCCAGAATCATGATCCCTGGCTTCCCCCTACTGGCAAGCAGGGCACAATTGGGGGTCTGATTCCCAATCACAAAATTGGGGTGTCCTGTCATGCATGTGTGACATGGTAGGAGGCAGAATTGTAGCGATCACAGATCAGGTCCCTTCATGCCTTTAATTGAATGTCAGCAGCTGAAGAAAGACCAAAATGGCAGAGTTAAGATGCTTAGCACTGGGAGGTGGGCAGTACTAACAGCGACTCCAGGCTGGCACCACCTCTTGCTCATTTAGTCCAGGGCTGCACATAACTGTCTATCCTGATCTGAAGCAGCCTGCATTAGGCTTTCTGACACAGCTCTGCTGGTGCAACTTTCTCTTGACCTCCATCTGATAATGCAGGACCAGGCTCCTCGCATAGTTCTGCCCGTGCAGCTTGAACACATCCTATCCCCCATTATTCTTGTTTTTGGCTGGGGCTCATTCCAGTCTTTGGCCCTACACAGTTCTGAAGCAGCAAGTGCTGGTTAATGCCCGAGGCTGGACAGCGTGCTACATGGTTTAGTTCCTCTTGTTCCTGGTGCCTCATTTTCTGCTCCTTTTGCCTTTGGTTGTGTGTTACAGGCAGCTGAATACAACATCTTCGAAGGGATGGAGCTGCATGGCGTCCCGTTGGTTGTCATATGCCAAGGAAAGATCATGTTGGAGGACGGCAACCTGCATGTGACACAGGGGACTGGGCGCTTCATCCCCTGCAGTCCTTTCCCAGACTATGTCTACAAACGCATTAAAGCCAGGAGGAAGGTAAGGAAGTGGGGAAGCCCAGGACGTGGGAGATTGAGCCGCTGGGTGCGGGAAGAAATTACTACTTCCTGAGGGCCTTCATGTAGATGTAATGGATGGCACCAGCAGACCTACCTTCCTGAATCATTCTCTTCCATGATAGTTGAATTTCCTGCCATAGTAACTGTGCTGGAAGGTCCACACTTTTAAAACCAGCAGCCCGGACATCTGAATTTAATGGTATATGTGTCACCCCCAAAGGAAGGAAACTGGACTGAGTGTATCATTGGTCTGTTTATGTAAAACAGCTCTTCTGGGAGGCCAGGCTGAAGGGCACAGAGTAGAGCAAAAAGGTTTAAAGGCAGGGGTGCAGGAGAGACCCCAAACTACCTCTTGTGACATTACTCCACAGTGAAGAACTTTTCTGTTGTGCTTCATCCTTTCTCTTAGGCTGACGAGGACCGTTTCTCTTAGGCATTTAGACTTCAGAGCTCTAAAGTTAGCTCAGATATCTCCACAGACCAACTGGCTTAGGAACTAGAAGCAATCTAATCATGGTAGCATGTACCTCAGCACAGCCTAGTTTGTCTTGCTTCTTGGTCACTTTATAACTCTCTTAATAAATGGGGACCTGAGGCATAGTAAGTCTGAGGCATAAGTCCCATAGAAAGCCTCTCAATAGACAAGGGGCATGAGTGTGCATCCATGGCAGCCTAAAGGTCTTTAGAAGGTATCTGAGGTGGGTGAGAAGGTGCTGTAAGCCTCAAAAGCCAGTTACAGTGACCAAGAAGCAAGACAGACTAGGCCGTCCTCAAGTGAGGTATGTGCTACCATGACTAGGTTGCTTCTAGCTCTTAAGCCAGTTTGTTTGCAGAGCTATCCGAGCTGACTTCAGTGCTTTGAAGTCTGCAGCCTAAATGCCTAAGAGAAATGGTCCTCATCAGCCTAAAAGAAACAGTGTCATTGTTTCTTCTGTGCTTTGTCTTGCAATAGATGGCCGAGATGCATGCTGTACCCAGGGGCATGTATGACGGGCCTGTGTTCGACCTGGCCGCCACACCTAAAGGGGGAACCCCTGCAGGCTCCACCAAGGGATCCCCCACCCGACAGACTCCTCCGGTCAGGAATCTCCATCAGTCTGGATTTAGTCTGTCAGGTGAGCGTGAGCTGAAAGGTGCTGCTGCTTGAATTATCCCACAGCACCACGTCCCAGAGGATATATAAGGTGGGATTTAGTTGGATTTAGCATAACTGGTTGTGGAGGTGACTAGGAGAGCTGCCCAGCCTAAGGAAAGCCTGGGGGCTTACAGTGTATCTGCACACCTTAAACCTTTTTTTGCCCTAAAGTAAATGGATTTCTGGTCACAAGCCTGACACACCTACCAAAGGCCTTTTCACTGGCCCCAAGCCCCTTCCTTCCTTGTGATGTGGCTTCTGTCGAGGAGGGAGCTCCAGGGAGAAGTCAGTGTCGCTGCTGGCTGTTGGGCAGCAGCAAGGGATTGTTTAGGGTGGAGCAGGCAAATGGAGAGGAGGAGAGCCTCTGGTGGGGTATGCAGTGACCTTGCACCTCCTGATGGCATGGTCCTCAAGAAAGCCCTCTAACCTGTCTGTCTCCCCTCTCTTTGGTTGTTGTTTTGGTCTGAATTACAGGTACCCAGGTTGATGAGGGTGTGCGTTCAGCAAGCAAGCGAATTGTAGCACCCCCTGGAGGCCGTTCCAATATAACATCCTTGAGTTAAGCACCCAAGCCAGGAAGGAAAATCCATATTCAAGAGAAGGAAAAAAAAATGGTACCTTGGTATTTAAGAAGGAAAAACAAATGGAAACCATTCAGATCCGAAGAATCAATAAGCCTCAAGCCTTATGTTTCATGAATGCTACTTGCTACCTAGCTTTAAAGATATTGCTTTGGGGTTTTTTTGTTTATGCATAGCCTTAATTTTTTGTTGTTGTTGTTTTCATTTTTACATGCATGCAAATCAGACCTGTCACTAAGTTAAGAGTCTGTAATATACATGTTGAACACTTGTGTGATGCCGCATCGTAAGAAGGGGACAGAGAAAGCTGGGACGACCGTGACATGAAGAAACTAGCTAGGAGGTTATGTGGGACTAATCAGCCATGGAGTTTAGTGTGGGGCGGGGTGGGTGGGGAGGAAGGTCGTGGGGGGCGGGTTAGTGGGAGGTGAGTAGGGACAAGGTGGGTCTGTGTTGTGTCGGTGTTCTCTTGCCACTCGGTACTGGTCAGATGTAGTCGCCGTGGCGTCATGCCTTGAGGCCTGTTGGGAAGCCTGGAGTCATCTCTGTAACAGCTCTGTTGCATCGCCTCATGTAAGAGATTTTATTACTTTGTACATTTTATTAAAAAACAGAAAGCAGCTGTTCCTTCCAAATGACTGGCTATGGGAGTTTGTTTTCCGTCTCTAGAATACGAAAAGGGAAATTCTCTCGGTCCCTGACTCCCTTTCTGTTCTGTAAGGAAGTCCAAGGATTACCAAATCCAAGACAAACCTGCCTCTGTCATGTCAGATAGAGCTTGTGCCTTCTCCTCTATGCCCCGGCCTTCAGTTTTCAAGTGCCTGCTGGGATCTGAGGGAGTTGCAGCTACCAAGAGCAATCCTCCTTTGTAAGCTCTGTGGCTCTGCAGGCTGCACTTGAGCTGATCTCCCCCTACACCTGCCTCATCTCCCCAGTAAATACACATGTGTTTGGCCACTTTTCCTGGAGGTTTGTTTGCAATCTCAGCCTTTCACAGCTAGGTCCTTGATTTGCACCCTGTCTTCCTCAGTACAGGGTAGGACTGTCTCCCTGATATTACCCAGTTCATCATGTGAAAGCTGGTGGTTTTAATATATTCCCTAAATAGCACACACAGTCACATCCTCCATTTGCTGCTGTCTGGTCTTGTCCATGTTCATTTAATGGCTTATTGTACAATGGCAGGGAACCAGCATCAGCCACAGAACGGAGATGATGGCTATTTTGTGAAGCTGAGCCTTCTCTGCAGGGTGGCAGGTTAACGGTTGCTTCATTACTGTTCTGTAGATTTAATTGTGTTCACCAAACCTAGGTTTCACCAGCAGTAGAGCTAGAATATTAACAGCGGCATATCCCAGGAACAGTAAGGCTTTTCCATTGTTAAATAACCTGCTGAGCATGTGATCGCGGCATCAGGGTAGAGTACTCGGGGTGTTTTGGAATCTTTAACTATACACTTTTTATGTTAAAATCTGTTTTTTGTTGGTCTAGAAATCCTTGGCTAGGACTTTTTTCACACTGGAGGGAGGAAAAACTGACAATGGTGAGCTCTAAGCCAAAGCCTTTTGGCATTGAACTGAATGTGGGACATTCCCAGACTGCTGTGAAAGACTGAATGATGGGTTCACTCATGCAGCATGCTGGGAGCCCTTTTCCAGGCATTTCTCAATTCTTTTTCTGAAAATACTGAACTTTGGAGTGGGTGCAGCAGCAGGTGGTCCAGTAGTTGACATGCCACTGTCAGGTATGATAATAGTTCTTGTCTTACAGTGATTGCAACCATCACCATACTATCAGTTACTATCTGATAACAGTACTGTGGTAGGAGATGTCTCTCTCTTCCCCTCCCCTCCCCAACTACACTTTCTGTCTTAAGCATAAACCACAGAAGCGCCTCTCATCTGTGAAAGACTTCGGGGTGAACCAGACAACAAATGTGGTATAGGCTGCTAAAGTGTGTGATAACTCTGGTCCAAGATGGGATGTGGGTGTTGCAAGATGAAGATGGCCATAATGATGAGGACAGTGTAAGGCTGTGTAGAGGATTAACAGTAACTTCATCTCATCACTGCTGTCCATGAAATGGTCAGTAGGGAGAAATACAGTCTTCTCTGGCTTTCACTGCAAAATTTTTTTGGAGTTCTCGTCTCTGTGGGTTTAATGAGCAAACAAGGAGCCCTTCTCATTTTTCCATCTATTTGGTTTGGGTGACTGGCTGCTTTCATGAATGACCTTAATGCTGCTGCTTTCACAGCAAGAGACAGGCAAAACTGGCCAACAACCCCTTAAGCACTATTCTGAGAACAGTTCTGTATTGTGTCTAGAGAAGCTTCCACATCCGGGATGTAGCGCGGATGCCAGCAGCAAGACTTAGCAGTACTCATATGCCACCACAAGATGGCACTGAGCTACCAAAAATGAACAGCTGCAAGCCAGCATCCAGGACCTTGTTATACTCTGTATTGCAGAGCAGGAGAAACCAGAAGCATTTGTGTGTGGTTTACTAATGCGACTAAATTAACCCATGAGCCACTGGACTTTGCATGTAAAAATAGATGGAGAATGGTAGGGAAGTTTCTGCTCAATTAGCTGCAAGGGTCCGGGCTCTAACCCAAGGTCCTTTTCCTTCCAGGTTAGCAGCCATCTCACTGAGCCACATCCCCTTTAGCTTGTTCTTGGCCTCCTGACTACCAGGTTACAGTAATAATTGTGCCCACCCAGGTGCACACAGATAGCACCTGGTCAGGGTGCAGCCTATTGGGCATGTGCACCTACTGCAGAAAGAATGGGATCACTCAGTGTGCAAAGATCCCAAAAACCAGCAATTAAAATGACTAGCTGACAATCATTTTTGGCATGTAACATGAAATAGCATTCTGGCCTTAGGCTTCAAGTCCAGTAACATCAAGTTACTACCTGTCTTAAAGCCTAAGCATGAACAACCATATGCTTAACTTATATGTACACGAAGCTAGCTTTGGATAACTACCTCAGGAGTTGTTCCCAGCAGAGTTACACTGCCACAGAGGTCAGCACAGGCTGCAAAAGAACCATCAAGGTGTCTACCCTAGACAGCACACCCCACCTCAGTTAGGCTGTCCATGGATCAGTAGAACATACAGGCAAGTTTGAGGTGTAGGAAACAGCTTGCTGGTCATGGTATATAAGATATATAGCACCCACTACAGAAGGGTTATTAAAAGAAAGAAAAAACTATAATACACCTGCACTACAAAATCCAGGAGCTTCATGTTATCTGAAGTTAGAACCTGAAACTCTTGAAAAAACTGAAAGTGATAGAAACCAGAGACATTGTGCATTTATCATGTGCTGTCATGCTCCAGACTTCTACTTTTATCATCGAAGACATGAATCCAGTTAGGTCAGGACCAGATCAACTCTTTGGTTGCCCTGCTCTTCAAAAAGAGGAGCTGTATTCAGTAGAAATATTTGCAGTGACAACAAGAAAGGAGGTGGCAATGCTTTCTTGGGAGCTGACCCTGGAATGGTCAACTTAAGTAGTACACCAGTTTCTGGGGCAAAAGGTTCCTGAACTGTATAATACACAGTGAGACTAGGAAAAGAAACATCCACTATAAAGTGAGGGAAGATGAGGAACAAAGGCAAAGGATAATCATCACATACCATAACTATACCTGCAATAGCCAGGTAGATTATACCTACGTAGACACCACCAATGCTAACCAATTTTTCTAACGGGTACAGCATGTAACTAGAAGTTCTGCTTGAGCAGTGACCAGCTGCGTTGTAAACTGTTGCAAACATCTGTAGATTAAAACACTGAATGCATCAGATTGTGTGAACCAACTGATTCAATTGTCAGGGATGAAAAGCTAGGGAGCTAGCTTGAGAGACATATCTATCCTCTCTCAGGTTGAATGGGAGCTCTTGGCAGCTCCAAGATCAGAAATCAGTGCACAAAAGGGCTGCCCAGTGTCTGGTAGAGGGCTCAGCCTTGGGGACTTGGGAACAGTCTCTTCTGTCAGGAGTCTCCCCCAGTAAAAAAAAAAAAAAAAAAAAAAAAGGTTTGATAAAGCAGTGAAGGTGCTGTAAGGACAAAAGACTCCAGGTCTCAAGACAGCTGTGGACTCGACAACACCTACTAGCCTGAGAAATACCTTCAGCTGAGGCGCTGGGCGATCTTGCTTCATGAAGCACCTAAACCTGTTGATTTGTATCATCCTCCTGACACAAGGTCCCTACATTTAAGGGTTTAATGATGCCCCGGTGGAAGCACCGCCAAAACCAGTTTCAGATCTGACCCCAAATTTTACCTGGGCTTGCTCATAAGATGCAGTAACAGTTCTGTAGCACGTATAAGACAGAAAACCACAGGACTGACAGCTAAGCCTGGCGCTTGTTGATACTGGCTGTTAGGGTTTTGTTCAAAGTATTTTTGGCGATCTCCCATTTCCATAGTATCAGAACATCTCACAAATGTTAGTAGACAATCCCACCACACCCCTCTAGAGTTTGAGCAGTCCCCTTCATACATCTGCATAACTGGGAGATATAGCAGTTTGAGCAAGTTGTAGA